TCCTTCCGAGGAGTGGCTGGTGGGTTTGAACCGCCAGCCTTCTGGTTAGCAGTCAAGTGCTTTAGCCACTATGCTACCAGAGAGGTTTTGGTTAGTGTCTCCCAAATCTCTGTTTTCAGTGCTGACCTTTCTTATGTTCTGTATCTGTATTTCCAATGGCATAATCCACATTCTATAATCTTACTCAATGTCTGCACTAAATATTCCCTAGAACCTACTCCTTCTGTGATCTCCATTTTAACTAGAGGTGTCAGGGCTCTATAATTCACCCAAACCAGAAAATGCTAAGTGGCTTTGCCATCTTGCACCAGACATAACTGGCAAGACTCATTAGTAGTCTCTGGATAGTACAAAAAGTTAATATGCTTAGCTGCTCACCAAAACGATGGAGATTTGAATCCACTCAGAAGTACCCAGGAAGAAAAGCCTGGTGATCTACTTCTGAAATAACAGCCACTGGAAACCCCATGGAGCACAGTTCTACTCTGACACACAAGGGGTCACTGTGAGTTGGAATCAACTTGATAGCAACTAGGAAAAAAAAAAGTTCATTGATATTTATCTCTACAGCTTCCCATAAACACGTCACCTACTCTCTATTCTCAGGTGCAATGCTTGGGCATTTATAGTATGGAAGATGACAATAGCCCACTAGCTGTTCTTCCTGCACAGAGCTGCTCTGCTTTTCAATCTACCTTCTAAAGGCTTCCAGTTATCTTTCTCAAGAGTAAATATAAATATATCACTCTCATGCTCACAAAATTTAAAATAAAACAAAACAAAAAACCTACTTTGATGGCTTCCTGTTGCCTAAAGGCTGAAGTTTAACTTCCCAAGCATGGTAACAAAAATGCTGATTACCCAATAAGCAAGGTAAGTATGGGCTTACTTGTGCTTACTTACTAATCTGTAGGGAACAATTGTGTTATTTCACCACATCAAAGACTCTGCTTGTAGGTATGGCTATCATCTGTCTCTCTCCCAACTCCACAGCACCTTCCTACAGAATCAAGCCCTCTTTTCAAATTTACCATGCCTGACAGGTACAGAGAACCCAGTAAGCAAGGAAAACAGGGCTCACTTGTACTTAGTGCTTACCAGGGACTCCACCCCTGGGGAACATGCTTTATGTCTCATCCCCCACTACTTTCTAACTGTAAAATCTTTCTTTCTCCAGCCCCCAAAAACCGTATGCTTAATCTGTTGTTGTTAGGTGCCGTAGAGTTGGTTCTGACTTATCGTGACCCTGCATCTACAACAGAAGAAAATGGTCCTGCACCATCCTCACATTTGTTGCCATGCCTGACTCTATCATTGCAGTCACTGTGTCAACCCATCTGGCTGAGGGTCTTCCCCTTTTTTGCTGACCCTCTACTTTACCAAACATGATATCCTTCTCTAGAGAAGTGTCCCACCTGATAATATGACAATCTAATATGATAATCTAGACGAGGTTAATTACTCTCTTTTTCTAGTCTATGCTAATTAACACTGTTTTCTCTGTCTGAAATATCTATCTCTAACCATGCACTTATCATTTATTTAATAAACATGAAAGAGGCCTGTTTTAGACGTCACAAACTCAGAGATAGGGCAGGTAAAATGAATGAATGAGGACTATCAGCTATATCTTGAGGCACAAGCCCCATCTAAAGAGGACAGCATTTTCAGGACTTGAAAATTGTTGCCATGCAAGTATTGCTTTTAAGGAAGTCAGGAATTCGTGTTTCTATGTGAAATTTATCAATTTGAAAAATCAGCAGCTAATATTATAAAACTCTAAAACACTCTGTCGCGTACTATTGTGTCTCAGCCAAATAAAGTACATCTGTAGGCTGTCAGAAGCCCTGGTGGTACAGTGGTTAAGCACTCAGCTGTTAACCAAAAGGTCAGCAGTTGGAACCTGCCAGCAGCTTTGCAGGAGAAAAATGTGGCAAACTGCTTCTGTAAAGTTTTAAAGCCTTGGAAACCCTACGGGGCTGTTCTACCCTGTCCTGTAGAGTTGCTATGAATCAAAATCAACTCAACAGCACTGAGTTTAGTTTTCTTTGTAGGCCATCAGATTGGACCTGGATCTAATTTCTACTAGGCCATAGGGATTGAAAAGAGACTAAGGCAGGGCTGTGACCTTTGGGGCTCAGTGCTAGCACTAGCAGGAATTAACAGTCCCTTTGCTCAACTTTTATAACACTTGGTTTACATGGCACCTGCCATAGTGTATTATTATAGCTAATTGTCTGTTTACTCCCTTGAATCAGTAGATCCTGGAGCAGCAAGGCTGTCATTTTCATCTTTGTATTGGCTGCACTGCCACATTGCCTGGCAGTTAGTAGGTGCTCAATTATACCTATATCTAGATAGAGATGTGTGTGCATGTATGTGTATGTCTATAAGTATGTATGTGTGTGTATCTGTACATATGAATACATATATGACATTGTGCCATCAGGGTGCAATATATACAAGTGCTTGGCTACTAACCAAAAGGTTGATGGTTTGAACTCATCAGCTGCTCTGTGGAAGAAAGACATGGCTGGCAATTTGCTCCTGCAAAGATTACAGCTTAGGAAACCCTATGAGGGGGTTTTACTCTGTCACATAGAGTCACCATGAGTCAGAATCAACTTGACAGCACCCAACAACACAAACACATACAAATACACATAATGGCACACAGAATTTACAAACATAAAATAACCAGAGCCAAACTCATAGACATCGAGTCAGTTCTGATCCATAGTGATCCCCACTGGGTTTCCAAGCCTGTAAATCATTACAGAAGTAGATTACCTTATCTTCCTCTGCAGACCAATTGGTGAGTTTGAACCACTGACCTTCTGGTTAGCAGCCAAATGCCTTACCCACTATGCCATGAGAGCTCCTTACTTATATATACACTGATATTCACATATATATTTATATCAACTTAATTCTAAACATTTAAATTATTTAAAATTAAATTAATATTATGCTTCGGGTAGTTTCTCTCATGTAAGCTTTGATCTCATTGAAAAGTTTATCTCCTAAAAAGCAAACCTAAATATACTTTTAGTCATATTTCACTTACATACTATAAACTTAAATATACATACCCATTGCGATAGAGTGGATTACAACTCATGATAACACTATGGGACAGAGAAGTGTATCATAGGGTTTCCAAGGCTGTAAGTCTTTAAGTAAGCAGACTGCCACAACTATCTCCCGCGGAGCAGCTGGTAGGTTCTAACTGCTGACCTTTTAGCTAGCAGCTAAGCACTTAACCACTGCACCATCAGTAC